ATATTCCCGGAACTGGAAGTCGCTGTTAAGAAAATGATGAAGGAATCGAGGGATTCTGAAAATAATGAGTTGTTTTGAAGGCCTAAAAGTTTGTTCCTCATTCCTGGACCATGTTCGCAAATAGGTATGGCTTAAATAACGCTGATAAAATCCATGTGCAGTTCTTTCTTTTGATACCAAACATCACGGCCACCCAGCGGGATTATCTCAAGGGTAAAGCTTACATGCTTAGCCTTCTTATTTCTTCAAAGAAATTGCTATGCGGGGGTTGAGACAAAGCTGCTTGGCGAAGGAACACACGTAATATGATATTATACGCGCTGGTAAACGTGAAAAAAAGCAGAAAGCAGATTTTCTGGGGATGTGCCGAATAGAAGTAGTTCGAACTTGTTCCCAGACTTCGCCACAACTTCCTCGGATTTAGCGGACGTCAAGTAGAGCCTGAAATAACTTAGCTAGGCTAATCCACCTCAGGATTCCTTTTCCAAGAATAGACCAAGTATGGCACCAGCGGAACTCTAGCTTGGTACTGTAAAACCCCTCTCGGCTTGGGTGAAATGACGTCATTTGTTACAAGCATCACAACGATCCCTGGCCTTATACTGCCAGTATTCCTATTTGATGTCCGTAATTACAGATTTATCGCCGTACAGTACCCGCTGGATTCATTGCGATGGTGTTCACGGCGTTTGATTCGTCGATATTCCAAGGCCATATTGACACTCGCTATCGTACTCACCGTCATTCATTCCACATTCGACATTCGGGTCATCTATCATTTCTGCATTCGAGTAGGTTTTGACCTTTTTGATTGAATTTTGTGTAAACTCGGTTAGTCTTTCACAGCCATGGTATGCGCCATGCAGTCGCTACTCTCATAATTAAGGTTTTAAGTAGTGAAGGTTGTTCTCGAGTAAGATCTCGATCCTCCAAAGGCAGCTGATATGGTGAAGTGAGTACACACTATAGAAGTACATCCTCTACTGGAAGAGGTAGCAAGGCATTGAAGAATGGAGTTTTGGGCCCTATCGCATGATACGGGGTGTCCTGCAGAACGGCCGACGGGGCAGGAACTTTAGGAAAAATGAAAATTTCCCACGCACCCAGGAGTCTCTCCTCCTCCGCGTATGGCTTAGTCCCAGTTCTTTCCCAAGGGAAGGATACCAGGTCGAAGTGGCCATTTGTAACGAGAATACACCACTAGATGTGTTTTTGGACGCTGATCTCGAATCTGCTCTCCAAATCTGCGGAACGATTCTCTGAACGTAGTTATGAAGCGAGATAGTGGCAGCGGCCTGGGCCGAGGGGCAAGAGATCGTGAGATCGACTTCCAGTCTCACTTTGCTTTTTCGAGAACATTGCTAAGTGACTTTATTCATGCTAAGTCATCAGCTATTGCCTATGTCAGAGAGGAGGTATTTCACGGGTTTCTAAAATGCTTTCGCGACACGATGGTATGCGCCATGCACTCGCTACTCTCCTACTGGATGTTATAACTAGTTCAGGTTGATCTAGAGAGAGATCTCTATCGTTCAAAGGTATTGACTGTGGTAGAGAGTACACAATGGGAAGTATATGCTTGGTTGGAAACGGTAGCCGGCTATCAAGGAAGGCATGTGTACTAATTGCGGCGAAAAGTGCGCCAGCTGCAGCTCAGTAGAGCTTGAAACCTGAAAACCGCTTTACCCCAAAACTACCCCCCCCCCTCCCAGATGGTATGTTATTATACCGCCAAATTCGTCGCTCGATTTTTATTTTGAAAGGTGTTGCATCCTCTCAAGCTACCCTTACCCAAGTTGCGACCTTGATACTGTAAACTCGTCCGAAACCGAGCCAAATCGGGGTCCTATTCCTCAGATACCGACGGATTTCTCCGTATTTCGCCACTGGCGCACCAGTTTGCATCCTTGCCTCCTTTTTAACCCACCCTAGAGTTATCAATACCTACTGCCTTTGAGCTGTGCGATGCGTCACGTGGCGCACTGCTCCATTTCATTACTCTGGGCGCCCGGTTTTTGATGGCTGCAACAAATTGATTAATGTGAAACCTCTGGCTCGATATCTCTCTCAGAAAGTATAGTCAATATGAAAACCGAGAGCAGATTGGATTCCAGGAAAATGCTGTTAGTTATACGCGCTAATGGCATGGCTATCAAGCAAAGGCGTGCCTCTTGGAAACTGACTAAGTTTTTCCACTAAGTTTTTCCACTTAAGGAAATTCGATTTCCTCTACATGTAATTAGCCAGTGTGGCGAATCACAGCACAAACGTACTCTCTGCAACCCTTCTCGGGAGTGTGGGTGAGAGGGGGATGGGGGAGGGACGAGACAATAGCCTAAAAATATGCCACGTTGACAGCTACCTGTAAAAAATATGCCGTGTCTGATAATGAAATGCAGCATTTTGGGATTCGCCATGCGTCCGTGTTCCTTTGCGCATCGCAGAGGTATTTGAATGGTTACCCAGTATACATGCACATAAAGCGTTGGGTTGGTAAGGGCCAGTCTATGTATATATGTATACATGTAGTGCTGGTGCCTTCCAAACAAGTTTGGCAGTATGCAGTCTAACCACAGACGGATTCAAGGCTTCTACAGACCCCAAAAATGGCTCATTTCCAAGGAAACCCATAGTCTATTGGTGGTATAAATGCTCGAAAGGAAGGAATAACCAAGCAGTTCCTTACTGTTGTATAAAAGTTAACCCATTCAATCCGCCGTCTAAAAGCTTGGAAGAGAAGCGCCAGCATGGCGCAATCCAAAATCGCCAAATGTTTTCCTATTTTTTTACTGGCAAATTTGTACCTTCTCACATGTGTTGCCTAACAAAACTAAGCATGCATTGCTTTTCAGGGACCATCGACATCGTTCTGGGTCGCTCGATGTTTTGTTGGTCATTCCACCATTGACACGAGCAATGGGTCCCGACACATTTGCATGGGTACGGAATTAGCATCCTTCGGACCGTTCTCAAGTTTCGCTCTGGGACCTTGTGCTACACATGAAGAGCTTTTCAGGTGTTCGACTGTTTTCCGGATAGGACTGATCGTGGTGCCATCAATTCTTCTGTTTGCCATCACAATACTTCTTATTCGAACGATTAAGACGTCAGATGCTCCTAAGCTGAAGGTTAGCGACAAATCAGTGAATATTCTCACGTCATTTCCCTCTCTTGCAACGTTGTTTGGTCTCACTACACGGGATGATAGTGATGGTGATGATCCGCTTTTTAATTATTATTATTTGTTTATTTGTTTATTTTGAGCATTCTAATTTGATTTTTTTTCAGTGTCAACCGCCATAAGCGAGTCAGCTCGGCGTTCAGGAACACCACTGTGATGCTCACTGTCATTATTGTACTCTTCTTGCTGGCCAGGTATGGTTTTTACTACGTCTCTTACCGTAAGTTACCGTACCCTGAGCCAAGGCATATAGTGCAGTTGCGTCAAACTCTGTAGACTGGACGTGATTTCAGTAAAAGCCATTATTTTTTGCATAAATGCGGTCTGCCGAGAATTTAAGGTTTTCTTAATCGGGCCTTGAACTTATGCTGCTGAGTGTGACCTTAAGTTATCACGTTTTAGAAAAAGGCTCTCAGATTTGTGCTTTAGTCAAATTCACCAACAAATCTTCACAAAGGGATTCAGGGGTATTTAAGCAGTTTGCTATGCATTAGTTTGTGGTACCAGCAAAAAGTGTTAAGAAAAGGCGTTGATCAATCCCATTTTGGGATGCGGCACGCATTCTACTTCCATTTGTACATTCGCAGTGGCATTTGAATGCGATTTGGCCTATAATATAACTTGCGTGGGCCAGCCGATATGCAAGTCAGTGTTTTTCTCCCAGACAAGCCTGGTACCAAATAGTCAACCTGGGATGGGAGGTTTGGTTGGCCCAGGCCACGTACCATCAAGGATTTGATCCCTGTACTAGAACAGAGCCACTTGTTACTGCACTACTTCCCCTTGCGGGTACCAGATGGTGTACTGTGTGGTTACTTGTCCCCTTTGTCAGGGTCTTGGCCAGCCAAGATTGATGATAGCAAAACCTGGGTTCGCCTTTGTTTGAATTCAATCGGATTTTCCACCCGCGGGCCGCGCATCATGCAGCGGAATCCCCTTCTGGTTTCTCTTCGATGCGAATAATCTTCCTGCTTTCAGGGTTCCTTCAACAGTGCTGATCATACTGGTGAAGCTGTCTGATCTACTACCGTTGGGCTCGCTGGAATTCGCTCATTCCGCTTACCTTCGTGCGTTTGCCAACATCATTCTCGTCACTCTGCACATGTGTCTTTGACTGATCAATTTCCTTCGCCGTCTATATGTTTATGTCAAGGTTGGTTTTTTGTTTTAATTTGTTTCATTCTAATCCGTGTGAGGTTGGCGCAGTGGTTGAAATCCCCATCCAAGTCTTGCATATCTCATAAGATCAATCCTATCCCGAAACAGCTAGGCTTCGCAAATTTCTGAGCTAGGGTAATTGGTGCTGAAAAATAAATAGGTTATTCTTCACAGTCGGCTTCGCTAGACGGCCAGTAGTTTTGATGTGAGCCTCATTGGGCTTTACCAAGCCGTAATAATGCCCTGACAAACACTAATATGCTTCTACAAATTCAAACTTATGTCAAGTGCATGGCGTGTCCGAATCCATTTTTTCCTCCAATCCATCCACCTTGCTTTTTAGGCGTTTCCGTGTTTCATTACGTCGCCCTTCGGATCGGCGTTTTGGCGTTTTCTTGCTTCGGACGAAGAGTTCAACGCCGTCAACTCGTCAGTGCGGACATCGCAATTCAAATCGCAACAATCCCGCACGAGCTGTATTATCCCGCTGGTTAACTGCAGCAATGTTGTTTCTTCTTCACTTGTGGTGATCCCATAACCCTAAATTAGTTTCGAACACGCCGGCTTAGTACACAGATGCCAAAAGAAGCACCACCCGCGCAAAATCAATACCCATGCTAAAGGACTAGTATTGTAGCAATTCTTAAAATTGAGAAAATGACTTGAGCGACATCAAACTGCATCAGCTTTGTGAAAAATTCTCTTCGGATGACCATCCCAATTTAGTACTCAGTAAAAACGGTGTGTCGGCAAGTCCCTCAAAGCCCTGCGTGATGTTGTGCCCCTTGCGTTGCGTGGATTACGAGCTAGATCATAAAGAGATATCAGAGTGTTTCTAAAAAAATTGGCGATTTTCGGAGCATGTCTTTCTGTGGTAGTGCCCGCGTCCCGTCAAGGGAGAAGAAGACAAAGCCACGAATACAACGAAATCAGACACCACTTCGTGAGGTGAATGCTGGGACCAAAGAGAGAACAGGCGAGAGAGCACAGGGGACGTGCGAGACGCAGACACCCTGCAGAATTTCACAATTTTTCTCTGATGCGTATTCGTTCCACTAGTAGAGCATCCCTATGTGCATGTCAACTCGTCTTTTTTGTCCAACCTTTCCTTGGAGGATGGGAAAAAGATCTCAAAGATGAAAACCAATAAACTTCGCTTCCAGGTCAGACCAGTGTGTCCCGTTTCTCGCGGCCGTCGATGTCTAAAAAAGGAGTGGTGTTTGCCCCATCAACGTGCTCGATCACTTCTGGCGGACCAGCGGCTACCAACAAAAGCCTTTCAGAGTGGAGTCGACAAGAGCTACTCTCGACGCGGTGCGCTCCTTTTCGGCTCGCTCGATTTCGTTTCACCAAAACCGATGTGGATACGGTATAGTACATCGTGCATTTTGTACAGTGAACTTATACTGAATCTTATCTCAGGTGTTTCTTTCTCGTGTTATTTACACTGATGATGAAGGCAAATTCCACGACCACAAGGCGAGGTTACCAAACTCGAAAAAAATGAATTTTAATGGAGAAGTTGGCAGCTTGTGATTTGGGAGGACTATTCCTTATTTTGTGGTGAACACTGAGCGCCGAGGATATAGGAGCACAGGCGAGAGAGCCATAAGGGACGCGAGTAGAGCCTGCAGGACACCTCTTGGTGCATGAGCAAGTGCATTACGTGCGCTGATTTCACTATGCTGCAGGGGGAAGTGAAGGGACAGAGCGCTTCTATCGTACACTTCTAATCAACGGGATCGGCACGTTTTTTCCCATGATTAACTCCGCTATGCTCGAGGAAGGAGTGTGTTTTCAGTCCGGCTTGATCGTGGAATGTGTCTTTAATTTTATTTTGTCGCGGTCGGTGAATGACTGACTGGTGAATTTAACTGTGTTCAGTTTCAATCTGAACCTTCATTGGTGAATTATAATGATAGTCGTTGTGGTGGATAGCCGCAAAAATGTTTGTAAGAACCGTCATCTATTTAGCCTCTTCAGATTTTCTGCATTGTGTGTTTCATCTCTTGAATGTGTTTGTTTTTCTTTTGGACACAAGTTCACGTTGCTTTCACAGTTCCGCCCGACCCGCCTACACTTACTCTTTACGAATACAATTTTGCGGGTCCCAAACGGATGTTCACATTACTCGTTCATAGGCCGTTTGCAACTGTGAGGGCAGCCCATACCATAAGCAGTTTTTTTTTATTCTCTGGCGAAGTACTTTATAAAACTTTAAACTTCGACTATGTGCTTTTCTTTTCATATTGTGCATATCCGATTGGTTTCGGTGTTTCCCGAATTAAATTTTCCAGATTCGGATTGGATGCGTTAAATCATCTCATGAAAAGCTGATACCGATGAAGTGCAAGAGTAGAGATGCAAAATGGAAAATTGTACATACAGTAGCGGTCAAAAGTCTTCGCCGAAATTGTTTTTCGACTGTAACTTTTTTTCCGCTGAATCAAATCAATTCAAATTTTAATATGTTTTAGAGATAGTCCTACTTCACTTAAACGGCATTTTTGGATTGAGAAAGAATTAAGAATGGAAAAAATCATTTCACTAGAAATTCTCGCGTATGAGCAAATTCCAAGTAGGTTTCAAATTACTCTAGCAAGCTTACAATTCAACAAAACAATCTTACGCATGATGAATAACACTGGGCAGGTCCAATACTTTGTTAATGATCTTCTGGGTCGCTGAAATACTAACAAGGCCTAAGTAAGGAATCAGTCATTGAATGCACTGTCTACTAGGGCAGCTTCCTCCACTTCTCTTGAAATTTGACGAGTTTCTCGCCCATATTCCCGGCTCTTATTTCCACCAAAGGTATCCCTACTCTTTCCCATAATGTTTCGATGGCGCTCAGGACATTGGTGTGAATTGTTCCTTTCGTTGAAAGCGCGCCATGCTGGCGAAGCCACTCCTTCACAGTGAAGGTGTGATGCTTTTGGTCGCACTAATGCTAGAAGGCGAGCTCAGTCGCGGGCAGCTGTCATACATGTGGATAAGAGCTCCTTCTAGAACCCAACTGTATAGGCTGCCTTCACATGATTGCGAATACTGCGAAGTTAGTCGGCGGTGAACTGGTCGGGGGCGAAATGGGCTTACGCACACCTAAAGTGGGGATCCCCATAGGGCTACAACGTCCTGCGGACCAACGAGAGTAAATTCAAGATGTTTGCCGGCGACTGAAATAGGAATGTGTGCGGTCCTGAGGAAAAACGTTTCGATCCAAGGAATTAACTGCCGTATGTAAAACTTGGCGGAGGCTCGCGTGTGGTAGTCCGTAAAAGAAGTTTTACAACTGCACAGGATTAGAGAAGTGGTGAATGCCGACGTATCAGATAGATTCTAGAAGGAGTTTCGTATCCGCTCGTATGAAACTGTACGTGACTGAGTTCGCCTTCTAGCTATAGAGCGACCAAAAGCATCGCACCTTCACTGTGAAGGATTGGTTTCGACAGCATGGCGCGCTTTCAACGAAGGGAACAATTCACACCAATGTCCCGAGCGCCATCGAAACATTATGGGAAAGAGTAGGGATACCTTTGGTGGAAATAAGAGCCGGGAATATGGGCGAGAAACTCGTCAAATTTCAAGAGAAGTGGAGGAAGCTGCCCTAGTAGACAGTGCATTCAATGACTGATTCCTTACTTAGGCCTTGTTAGTATTTCAGCGAACCCAGAAGATCATTAACAAAGTATTGGACCTGCCCAGTGTTATTCATCATGCGTAAGATTGTTTTGTTGAATTGTAAGCTTGCTAGAGTAATTTGAAACCTACTTGGAATTTGCTCATACGCGAGAATTTCTAGTGAAATGATTTTTTCCATTCTTAATTCTTTCTCAATCCGAAACAAATATGCCGTTTAAGTGAAGTAGGACTATCTCTAAAACATATTAAAATTTGAATTGATTTGATTCAGCGGAAAAAAAGTTACAGTCGAAAAAGAATTCCAGCGAAGACTTTTGACCGCTACTGTAAGTTCTGAGGAATTCGGGAATCGCAAAATGGTGTCGGAAAACCAGCGATCATCTTCAGAAACATTTACGGTGAACACTCACTGAGAAGATTGCTTCCTGACTTGTGATGTTGGTTGAATACTCATTGAGAGGGTTTCTAGAAAAAGCGTCCAGAGTAACACCTGTTGAAGACCCAAAGATTCGGCCTCGTAGATATGAGCTAACTTTTCTATAACTTTTCAGCCGAATCAGAATCTGGATCATTGTGCCGAATTTTCGCTTTATTGTATGCATTATTTGAATTATCATTGTCATGGACGGCTGCAATCCCGGTGTGCCGACTCATAAATATTTCAGACAACCTAGACTTTACTGGACGTAATTCGCCAGAAATCATGGGAAGTATGGAAGAGTTGTGGTCCCTGTTGAGCAGCTCAAGAACCATCAAGTGTGAAAGTAAAATAAGGGCGTCATGCGTCCCACTTGATTGTGATCTGCTCCGTAAGGCGATTTTTTTCTACTGGCCAAGCTGGGTTGAAAACTGTGAGGTTTGTTAACTTTCGACAGCCGCTGCACGATGAAATCAGGAACTATAAGCATAGCACACGATGTCTGCTTGTCAATTGTTTACAAAACCTTTTATTTGACTATTGATGTCCTTTGAAACTGTCAATAGCACACAAATTTTGAGAAGTGGGTTGAGAATGACAGCTAAATCATGCCGGGGCAATGCATAGCGCCTCGTCTCTGCTGCAAACGCAACCTTTGCACTGGCAGTCGGCGTCAGTGGTGCATGGATCTCCTTTTTCGTAAACTACAGAACCAAGAAGATTTCCACTAAAACACTTGGCAAATGAAATGGGCCTTCTTATTTCGCAGCAATGCACTTACGCGGGATTATACTCGCACGCGGCGAATGTCATGTCAGGGCACCAATACACCGCGCATCCAATCTTGTTACTCCACTGCCAGGCCAACTGAAACAACTTCTATTCTTGTTCATCGAGTATTGTCGTTGCTTCAATCGCACCTGCGTATAATGGCCGACGCCTCTTTCTATCAATGCCATGGAAAATTGCAAGTCGTCAGGTACACCAAACAATTGTAGTTCCAAAAACCAATCCATAACAGCCTGAAATGAGCTGTTACCATGCCTGACTAATTGCATTTGAAGGCTTCCACATTCTCACGTATATTGCAGACGCAGTCTTGTTCATTTGTACTACGCCTATACTCCATATGCTCTGCCCCCAGTAGTTCCTTTCTTGACGTGAGTCGTGCTCAAAAACGCATTTTTTGACATACTGCATCGTGTTTGCTTCAACGTCACAATCATAAGTCTAAAATGATGATTGTTAGCAAGAGTGAAAGCTACATCCTTTGAGAGCCCATTTGTCATCTATGGTTCTCAAATCCTTATTTTAATCGCAGAAAAATACTGGAAACCATCGCAGTCGTACCATCTTCAGCATCCTTGCCGCCTTTGGAGCGTAACCGCCGAGCTTATTTTTGGCTTGTCCTTTGGCAATTTGTGAGCTAGACAGTTAAAGATAATTCGACTTACTACCCTTTGCTAGTGAAGGCTCAATCTAAAGAGGACGCACCGATACATATTGTGTTGGTCAACGAAAACCTGTCTTAGTTCATCATTCATTCCATCGGCGTCCGAGCACATGGCTGAAATTGTTCCTTTTGCAAAATTTTCGACTTATGATTTCATGAGCATGGTACTTACATGCCCATCCAGATGTGACGAGGAGCGTCTGAAAGCGTTTACTATAATGAGTGGTTCGGTGATAAAAAGATTGAAAACGATCAGATCTTACTACCTACCAAGTACGTAATCGTGGCAAGCGCTAGCATGCTTCACGATGTTTCAGGCATGCCTTGCTGACACCACACAGTCCTTTTATATGCTTATTAGGGAGGTGGGGTGGGTTATTCAAACAGAATTTTCCAGAAAATATAACAATTGATGATTGCTGAATCAGCTTCCCTTATCCTGTTTGCTTTTTATGTATTATATTTATTATCACCAAACAGAAACTCCGTATTGATTTTTTTCAAAACGAATTAAACGCAATTGGTTGAGATTTTCATTGAATGCGTCCTCTGGCAAACTCGTGATGTGGATATTATCGAAGAGTGTCAAGAGTTTGTAAGAATATAATACAACTTTATCAATCTGGGTACGGGAAACAAATTTTCTTTGAAAGTTAATGTTATAATATACGCAGTTGAAGTGTTAATCAGAATTTTCATGCTAATCATAGAGGAAAACGAGCCAGTTTCCTCAGATAGAGTCGACAAATGAGGACACTTTTTTTTATCTGTGATACTTTGAAGTCTCTGACCATACTTA